AGAAAGAGGTTCTGATTCACATCCACCCCAAAGTGAATTGAATGGCACACCCAAGAGTTGGCCTGCCTGAGTCTGACGCCAGCCTCCCTCCACTTGCTCCCCCAGAGGCCCTTGATCCAAACCCCCCATACACACATGTGCACAGAGGGAGGTCCTGCCACAGAGCCAGGAGGCCAGGGACTGAGGTGCTAACCCTGGTTCCGGCTGCACTGCCTTTCCAGGTAATTCTGCACACATGTTGTTACGGGGCAACCCCGATATGAAATGGGTTGGCCTGACTGGTTTCTCACCCATGCGCTTCAAAGGGACTTATAATAAGACTCAACTGCGGACACACACAAAAAGGGTAATAAAGGGTTTATTTACTAAAGAAGGGGAAATGAAGAAAGGAATAACTTGGAGAAAGAGAAGGAGATAAATTGGTGAATGTGTCCTACCAGTTCCGCTGAGCTGGAACCCCAATAGCATGCTGAGAGCCGGCTACAAGCCAAGAGGCCCCCAAGGCCCACAAGCCTGGCTGCTTAGCTCCGCCCTCAGTTCCTAGCAAACCTCCTTTCGGTGGTGATGACATTATAGGATTTGTAGTTCTTGGTGCCTTGGATGTCTTTGGTCTGGGGTGGGGGTGGAATCCATAAAACCTGTTTGTGGCATTCATTCAGGACATCCTTTCCCCTCAACAAAATCTTCCCCTCCCCATGCATCAGTGACTTCATCTGGGAAATAGGAATCACAACACCTCTCTTTTCTCTGCATGGGGTTAAAGCAGATGACTCTCAAAGGGTCCTTATGAGGTCTAGTCCTCATGTCCAGGATTCTCTGATGCCAAACTTGAGCCTCAAGCCACCCATACTTACACCCTGCCCTGCCTCCCTCTTGGGGTGGGGGTCAGAGGAACCCATGCCAAGCAGGGCTCCTTTTGCCATTGACTCCTGAGCACAGCCCTCATTAGTGCTGACTTACAGCTTTGCTTGCTGCTGACATCAGCACCCATCTGTTTGTGGTGGCAAGAGAGGCCTCCTAGGGAAACAGGTTTGCTAAAGCTCAGCCAGGAAGGACCTCCCAACTGGGCTGTTGGAGCAGGTTTGGTATAAATACCCTGGGCAGGCTCCTCTGGTGCAGGAGTGGGTGATCAGAAAGTAGGAATCCTTATGTCCTCCCCAGTAACCCCTAACCATGGTCAAATTTCCATCCCCAGCTTTAGACCTTCCAGCTGGTTCCGAGCTACTCAGCACACACTCCTATAACCATCCTTCCCCAAACATCTCATCTGTATCACCATCTGCCACCACTGCTGTCACCACCCTGCATCACCAGCCACTGAAACTCCTTTACCCCCACTTCCTCCTCCATCTTCATCCTCACCCCTACCACCAGCAGCACTCACCCGCCCCAGCCCAAAGGTCACTATCTAATCCGTGGTCCATACACTCCCTGCCTAAATTCTTTCTGGAGCAATAAACTTCAGTTGGAATGATATCCAGACCACAAACCTGGGACCTAACAACTGCTGCAGGAGGACCCACTGTACCATCTCTGCTCAATTGGTGTTCCCCCAAATTGGCCCGGTCATGTGGCCATCTGCAAACACTCAGAGGATGTGGACGATTCCCTTAATAACTATCTGTCCCAGGGTGGGCCGAGGGGCCCAGCTGGATGCAGCACCATCTCCAACCCCTTTGAGTTAGCACGAAGCAATGTACCTGTCTTGTTTAAACACACACTCTCCCAGATACTGAAGAACAATTAAAAGTGGTCACAGTGGATCAGCCTCCCTGATCAATCTTACCTGTCTTAAGCTCAGATAAGCCTTTTGAGGAATCTCTTTCCCATTCTGTCATTTCTGACAGCAGATATGTTAGATTTTCCATTGCAGGGCAAGCTAGGGTCAATGGAGTTCACACTCCAAGTGAAAGAAGAGTTTGCTTTAGCCTTTATCCAGCTTGAGGTGTCTGTAGTTTAGCTAGACATTATTCAGGAGAATATTAATTAACATTCAGCTGTGGTGTAGTAGAAAACAAAACAGCAACCTCACTCTGGTGTCCAAGTCTGAGTTGGACTCAACGAAGACATTTTGGAATTCGGAACGGACTACTTTACTGCTGTGCCTCAGTTTCCTCACCTGTAAAATGGGAATATCTGAGCGCTTATCTCCCCTGGATCAGTTTGAGGGTTGAGTGTGATAAAGAACTCTTAAGGGCCTTTTCTGAGGTCCAGCTTGGATGCAGATTTTAGCTGTATCTGAATAATCATTCTAGAAAAACATGAACTTACTATCTTGTCTGAGTTGTGTCATTTTAAGAGTTTTTTTGTTTTTGTTTTTGTTTTTTTTTACGTGGGCCACCTCCAAAATCAAAATTAAGTTTATTACCAACACTGCAGTTCAAACAGGGGAGTGACTTCTGATTGATTTTATGAAACTACTTAATTTTATACTCAAATACTCTCTCCAGCTTTTATCTGCTTTTGCTGTTATGTGTTGGAGACAAGATAGATCTGCTCTTCCTTGCGCCAGTCTTGCCATGATCTTTGGCCAAAAGCAACTCAAGCATGAGTTTCCTACAGTCACTGGGATTCTCTGGACTTGTGCAGAGAAGGAAGAGGTGCCTGCCCCTCCTTACCGCCCTTTCCACCAAGCGGGAGAGGCAGGCTCAGGCAGGGCTCTTCCAGAAAGACCAAAGCTATACAGCAATGGTTCTCAAAGAGTGTTCCCCAACTCAGCAGCAAGAGCATTATTTGGGTACTTGTTTGACCTGCAAATTCACACACACACACACACACACACACACACACATGCCCCATGTGTTGAATCAAAAACCCTTGATTTCTTTGAGGCTAGCAGAGCCCAGGGAACTTGGTGGAGGATTGTGGATGCTTTGGTGGTGGGTGTAGTGTGGTGACATGAATCTGAAGAGGTGAGAACCTATACTCCCAACCACACACAGTGTTATAAACCAATGTTTCCTCAATAAAAAAAATACAATTTAAAAACACCACAACCCCTCTGATTTCTGCACTTGCACAAGGATCACTCAAGTTCTTGTTCTCAAGGAGAGAAACCCTTAACCCCAACATGTACATGCAGTGGCACTGTTCAGGCACCCAGGTGGCAGGAAGTAGTTTTGGGGTGGAGAAGAAAGGAGGAGGACGTCACTGTTGTCCCTGAGGGCCTGTGCCCTCAGCTTCCCTCTGGGAAACATACAGAAAGGGCGTCCAGAGGTCTGGAGACACATTAGGAGTCTTGGAGACTGAGGTGCTGAGAGGAAGGTGGGGAGGAAGCTTGCTTACTGGCTGGGGGGACCAGCAGCCTCCCACATTGTCTTGGCCTCTGCTGGTAGGCCCCTGTTCCTTCCCCAGGCTCACACTGAACTCTAGTGATGCTGGCTTTCCCAACTCTGGTTTGGCACCAAGATCTGGCAACACCCCCCCAGTTCCAGCCAAGGGTCATTTCCTGAAAAGGGACTTAACCAAGGGGCTTGGGTTTGGGGCGCTCAGGCCTTGTCAGTATAAGATCCCCAACCCACTGCCCTGTCCACTGTGTCTGGTAGTGTCGCCGGCCTTGGAGCGACAGTGAAGAGACACAACTGCCACTACTTCTGCCCCAAAATTACCCATCACGCTGGGGGAGATGAATACTAAAGGTCTCTGTTTCCCAAGTTCTAAACAGTGTGCTGGATTGAGCTAAGCTGTTTGTGAACATTGTAGAACTTAATAAGACAGTCACCCATGAAATAGATACCAACCCTGGGCAGTGAGTTACAAGCACAAGAGGAGGGGGGTTGGCCAGCTGTGCCAGAGTTCAGAGGGAGAGGGCTGAGAACAGGGTGACTGGAAAATTTCCCAAAGGGAAGAGGCCCAGTGCTGATTTGTAGACAGGGTCTGTGGCGGCAACAAAATCTGGCTTCCTCTGTCTCCACCTCTCTTTGTCTATCTCTATGTCTACTTCTCTCTACCCTTTCTTCTTTGTATAAACAAGCCACTGCATAAGTGGCAAACTTCAGTCTTCTCATTAAAGCTCTATTGGGACAATTAACTGGAGAATGGATAGAAAAATGTGGTTCATACACCAATTACTGTTCTTCAATTAAACGGAACAACATGGAGAAGTCTTGAAAACATTATGCTAAGTGAAAGAAGACAGACAGAAAAGATGACACTATGATTCCATTTCTATGATTTTTCTGGAAAAGGAGAAAAGAGAGAAAGCAAATGGATGAGCAGTTGCCTGAGGCTGGGAGCTGGAGTGGCGTTGATAACAAAAAGCGACGAGGAAACTGTGAGGGGGACAAAGTATCCTAAAACTGGATTGTGCTGATGGCTGCACAGCTACATAAAATTATTTAAATCACTGAATGAAGATTTAGTTGGGTGGAGGTGATGATCTGTACCTTTTAAAGAAGCATGCCAATTTTTTTAAAATGGATGGATGGATGGTTAGACGTGTGAAAAAATGTTATATTGATTTGTGATTAGATCATGTGGTTAGTGTTGATATAGGTGCTCGCTGTATAATTTTTTCAGTTTTATTTGAAAGTTTTTAGGATAAAATTTGGGGAAATTGTTTAACTTGAAGCAGGAAGGTACTCAAAGGATCTGTAGTCTAGAAAGGTCATTTTGGCCACCCAAATGGTAAAATGAAAACCACTCATGACGATGTTGGTGAGGACGCAGAAAACCTGGAACTCTCATATCCTGCTGCTGGGAGCATGCATAAATCCAGTGACTGGAAATTTAACAGTGTCTACTCCACGACATGCTGATCCCACCCTTAGGCTTCTAACCTAGTATGCTTGTACACCTCAAAGTATAAAAAAGAATGTTTACAGCAGCATTAGCTACCATAGTCCTGAACTAGATACACTGAATGACTATCAGTAGAGTGGATTTTAAATTATATATCCATTTATCCATACTGGGGGAGTCTCTATGGCAGTGGGAATGAATGAATGTCCACACAGCATGATGGATTCACAGCATGTGAATTTCACAATGTTGAGCGAAAAAAAAAAAACAGACATAATCGAGTACATATGAGGAGATTTCATTTATGTAATGTTCCAAGTGAGACAATCCTAGCAGTCAGGAACAGAAGACAGAAGAGTGCCGGCCTGTGGTTGGGATGACAACTGGAAGGACATCAGCCAAGAGGGTGGGAAGCTGGCAGTGCTCGCTTTCTTAGCCTGGATGATTAGTTCCATGTAAAACTCACAATTGCATGTAAAAAAAAAAAAAAAGAAAGAGTTATAGACTTCTGATGTGTGCATTTTTCAGCATGTAGATTTTAATTAGATAAAGTTTCCTAAACAATTGCCAAAAAAGAAACCACTTTGGGTCTTCCTGGTGGGGCAAGAGGTTAAGACACAACCTATGAAGCTATCTGCAGCCACTGCAGCACGAGTTCGATCCCCAGCCAGGGAGCTACCCACATGATGCAGCAGACCTCCCCTGTCTCGCCCGCTGCTCCCCTCAGCAGTGTATTTCAGTCAGTCTGCCTGTTCTGCTCCCCACTCTGTCTCTGGTGAATCCTCTCCCTCCCCCTCCCCCCAACAACTCTGGTCTATGCCCCAGTTCTTGTATGTATAAATAAATAAATCTTCAAAAAAAAAGGAAAAGAAACCACTTTGACCTCCACTCAAGGACACTATCACCACAAACCTGACTCCTGAGGGGTTTCTGGAGATGCAGCTAGTTTGAGCCATTCTGAGCAGCCTGGGGTGGTCTCTGGACCAGATTCCACCTAGGAAAAGTCCTTGGCATTTGTCAGATCTGCAAGGTCTTTAGAAGGAAAGCAGGTGTCAGAGGCTTTGATGTCAAGTAAGCCCAGGAAGCCCACAAATGCCCTAGAAAGTTTGTCATGACACCCTGAATCAGAGTGAATCATAAAAGCGCGTTCCAGCCCAGGGCTGTGAGAGATCAGGGTTCATGCGGGCTATGGGGGAAAAGAATGTGAAGACTTGGTGAAAGACGTAGCAGCCCACTCTCCTGCCCAGGACCGCCACCTGCAAGCAGTCCTCTGTTTACTCATAGTTGTCTAAAAGGGCTTTAATAAGAATCAAGTAAAATGAATTCAGTAGGAACTCCTTGTGTGAAAGGAATGCTGACCCCCCACCCCCCACTATTGGGAGGACTGGTAGGACCCCCGTTGGATACCAAAATCTATATATGTTCAAGTCCCTTATATAAGATGGCGTCACATTTGCGTATGACATGTGGGCATCTTTCTGCACATTTAGTCATCTCTAGGTGACTTAATACACTGAATACAACATAAGCGCTTATGTGAACAGTTGCTACACTGTGTTGTTTAGAGAAAAATGACAAGAAGAAATGTTTGCATCTGTATGTGCTCGGTACAGATGCAAACATCAGAAGCCTAGCCACATAGTACATATTTGTGACCCACAGCCGGTAGAAATCCCCAGATCTGGTACCCATGGACATGAGGGCTGAGTGTACCTAACCTTTAGATATATTTTGTGATGAAGAGGACTCAGTTATCAGATGACCAGTTTCTCAAAACAGGGTCTCTTTCTTTTTCTTAACTCCAATTTTCCATGAAGAAAGAGAGCTTAGGTTAGTCATAAGAGGAAGTCTAATTCCAGGTCAAAGAGTCAAGCTTCCCAATTATCATAGCTAATTGTGTGCTGGCATTGTCTGTGTGCCTTCATATGGGTAATAAAATGCTGAAAATGTGGCTAGAAATTCAAGGCCCTTGGCTCAAGAATGAAGTGGTGACACTAGCACATTCTAAAGTATTATCAGATTTAACCAATAGTTTTTGATGTACTAATAGACTCTGAAAAAAACAGCCACTGGCAATCTGTAAGCTTGTTGTGAGCACTATAGTGTTTCATAAAAATGCAGAGAATGAACGAACATGTGTGGGCATTGGCAGAGTGGACTTGCAGGTGACTTTCAGAGGGTTGACCCCTCCAGCCTTTGTCCTGGGCTGACTTCTTCCAGCAGACACCCTGATACACGCCATGGGTGTGGTTGAAGGGTGTAGAGGCCAAGTGATCCCCCAAGAAGCCCCATCTTCTGTGCCCAAATAAATTTGAGATATGCTGTGTTCAATCAAAACACAACTGTGTAGGCAAGGCTGTGGGGAAACAGACTCAAACACAGCTGGCGGCAGTGATGGGACCACCCTCTGAAGGGCAACCTGGCAGAAGCTTTCAAAATTAAAAATGCACATGGCCTTTGACCCAGCAATTCTACTCCCTGGCATTTTTCCTACAGATGCACTCCCACAAGTACCAAGTGACGTGTGGACAAGGATATTCGTTTTTAGTGTTGTTTATAATAATAAAGCCCGGGAAACAGCCCTACTCTCTCAAAGGGGGTCTGGCAAAATCATCTTGGGAGCAGTGGCTAACATTTGCTGCGTGCTTACTGCACACCAGTAGTGTCCTAAGCACTTATAAGTATTATCTCATTTAATCCACACAAAATGCTCTATGGGTGCTGTTACTAACCTTGGTACCCTAAGAGATTAAATAACACGTTCAACGTAAATAAGTTAAGGGATCTAAACTCTGCATTGTCTCCAAAGTTGATGCTCTTGATCACTCTGTTAAACAGTCTCTTCCAGAGAGGATTTGAATGACCTTTTCAATGGAATATGTTAGAACAGAGAAAAAGGACAAACAGCTCTATATGTATTAACATCAAATGTTTTCTAGATATAATGTTAGGTGAAAGAGGCAAAGTGCAGAACAATGGAGGGGATTATAGGGAATATATATATATATAAAACACTTTCTTCAGAAGGACACATGGGACTAGTAACTCACAGGCCTCCAAAAAAAGGGATGTGAGCAGTGGCTGGAGGGAAAGATGGAAGAGAGACTTACAATTCTGTTTGAATTTGTTTGTAACTTTATTTCAAAGTAACTTCAAACTTACAGAAAAGTTGCAAGAATAAGATTTAACTGTCTAGACCCTTCACCTAGATTCATTAACCATCACCGTGTTCCAATCTTTTTCTTACCATGTCCATGCTGTACTTCTTTAAAATAAGAATTAACAAGACCAAGTTAAACTAACATTTTTTTACCTCAGAAATTCTGGAAAGAATGAGGTGCTAGTTTTGACTTTCTCACAAGGTGGTCAAGTGCAAATCTGTTTCAAGAGATTAATCTTAAAACACAATGATTATCTGGAACAAATGCTCCCTCACCCAGAAGGATGTGCCTGGGTTTAGGATCTTGAGAAGAGGTTTAATGAAACTTCTAGAACCATACAGCGGAGGCCAAAAGTAGCCACCTTGCTCAGGGGATGAGGATGTCGAGGTTGCTACAGACCACAGGGCTACTATCTCCAGAAAGCTCCATCTACCCTGTTGACAGTGAGCACCACAGCAGGAGGAGATAAAACTACATGCCAGGTGTCCAGGTAGTGCTAGAAAGCAACCCACCACCACCACCCCAAGTCCCTTTAATTACCTCTTTGGGCCCTTGTGCCACTGGGCTCAGTGCCTGTGATGAGCTGAGATGCTATACATTGAGGGCGGGGGGGGAACCCTGGTCTAAGCACATGAAGGTCAGGTGCAAGTTTCCTGCCACCTTTAAAGGGTGCCCCCACCTCCCCCACTACCCACCAAAACATGTCACTTAATCCCAGGGCCTGCCCTTGCCACCTTCCCTGCTCCCCTCTAATCATTTACCCTGGTTTTCTTTTTGCTTAGTACAGCTCATCAGTCTTTCATGTGTGCCCCATTCTTTCTGGCCCCTACTTTCACCTGGAATTTCTGTGAGGGCAGGGCTATGTGTCCCCCTCAGGCTGGGGCTCCTAGAATCAGGGACTTTGGAGAGCAATAGATTGGGCACTGTCCCCTTCTTTCTACCATCCCTTTTGGCTCCCAGTCTGAGATTCTATTCACACACCTCTAAATCTGAGTGTATGAACCCTGAGACCCTTTGCCTGCTGAAGGCTAAAGGCCTGTAGCTGACACCAGCAGGCTGGTGGTGGGGCCATTGTATAACAGTAGCCAGGCTGCAGGTTTCTGATGATTCAGCACTGTGGCCTGCTCGGGACTTCCATGGGGCTGGACCAGGGGGCTCCTCAGAGTGAAGAGCCAAAAGGCCCTCGATCCCAGCCTACCTGGGGACCCTGCACCGATACCCTGACACAGCAGGAAGTGGGTAATTTTCTGGCCTCTCCTGGCTGCCCCGGGCCTGACCTCTCGGACTATCTGAGTCTGGGTGCAGGTACCTGAGCCAGAGTCAGGGTGGGTTCCAGCCTGGTGTTGGGTCAGGAGACCACCTTACCATCAAGAGCCTGTTTTTGAGGTTACACACTCCTGGAACAGGGGTCAGGAAGAGGGACATGGAGGCCAGTGAATGCCTGGGGGGTTGGGGGGCCAACTGGGCAGTTCATTTTCAAACCACTAGATGTCACTTCCATTTCAAAGGAACCTACTGGTTGGAATTTTCCCCTGTCAGGTCCCCTCATCCTTTTCCAAATCTTAAAGACACACAGTCACAAGAGAAAACTTCACTTTCTCCTGAGGACCTACACACCAGAAACCTGGTCAGGAGCTATATCCAAGCCTGAGCAGAAACTTCCAGAAGCTCCATAATACCTACCTCACCCCTATAAAGAGCCAGAAGGAGCAGAACCCCTCCTCCCCACTCCCACCCACCCTACCGGTTATCCTGGGCATGGTATTTTCTGAAACCAAAAGTAAAACACATGTTCAAACTGATGTGAGTATCTTTAGGGTAGAAAATGTTTGAAACAGGGGATACATAGGCCAAAGATCCTAGTCAGGCCACAAGATTCTGGGTTAACTGGCAGCCATGTTATCTACCCCCCTGGCTTTGTAACTGGTGGCTGAAATTATAGACTGTTACAGGTGGTGCCCCCTTGAGGGGGTTGCAGGTGAGGATAGTTAATCCCAGGGAAAATGCTAAAAAGTATAGCATTTTGGGGTGGAGACTGATAAGAAATATAAGAGACTGCAGAAGGGGGCGTGGATTCAGTCCTTGGAATTTAGCGTTTTCAGATCTTCATCATTTGGGGTCAGCGGATTGCAGCCCCCACCACACTGATCTTCCAGAAGGCTGTTGCGGGCCTCTGAAGGTGGAGGCCTACAGCAGCCAACCTCAGACAAGAAAAGTTCAGAGACTTTGCAATTAGCTAAACTGAAATTGTTCCCGATTTTGCTGCTGTTACAGCCTGCCATAGAAGTAAAGATCTGGAGCTGGGTGCCTTGCTGAGCTGCGTAAGTGTGGCCATTTGTCCAGTCATTCAGCCGCTGCAGCTGCTGTCTTGAGTGTCGCTTGTCTGATGCTGTGCTGGGGCATCCCAGCATCTCTGGGAGCATCTCCTGTTGCGTCTTCTGTTATCTTCATGAGTTGGAACCTGGCCTGGAGTCTGGCTGCTGCATGCTCCAGGTCGGCAGAAGCAGGAAGACGCCATCTTGGAGATGTGGCCTATTGCTCAAGAGGAAGCGCCAAGTCCTCGGTGTCAGGAAGATGCCATCTTAGCTGCTTTTGTTTAGGACTCAAAAACACTGGACATGGCTTCTGGTGAGGTAAATGGCCATTTTTGGCCTCAATAACTCTTTGTTTTTCCCTGGCTTGTTAAATAAATCCCATTATTGTTGTTCCTTGAGCCCAAGTAGTCTTGCAATTGTGCGTGCAGAAGAACTCAGACAATGACCAGTAAACTATTTGGACAGTATCCTTGGTCAGTTTTAGTGCCCCTTGCTGCTTGTATCAGCTTCAGACTATCAGGAATTTCTGAGGAGGGGAGATCTGCAGGGAGGTCCATCTGCCTTTTCCATCCACATCCCTAATATTCAGTCAACATTTCTTGGCTGGCTGGTGCCGATTATTATAATTTTCAATGTGTTTTTACTCACTGAGTTCCTCTCTAGACTCTGTCACGGAAGTGTCATTCCAAGCCATTTTACAGATGAAGAAACAGAGAGGTGGAGAAGGTTAAATTAGGAAGTTCTTCCTAGCTGCTCTAATCTCATTCCAAGTGGAACATGGTGGATTTACCTACAGCTCAAGTTTAGGGAACACTACTTTCATCACCCTGCCCCCAGCCATCCATGCCCAACCACTGAGGACATAACCGTAGACCTCCAGGCTGAGGACAGCCTATGGCACTATTAGTGATTATGAAGTTCATACTTCATAGTAGAGTACTCAGTAACAAAGTTACTCACACCAGGCTAGAGCAAACAGTTACTTCCCCACGAGACTAGGGAAGTGAGGCAACTTACCTAGGAACCCAGCTCCTAAGTTCGCAGGACCAGGACTAAAGAGTCTTGAGTTCTCAAACAAATGCTCCATCCTGTAAAGACAAGGCCACTGAGCCCAGGTCAGCTTCTCCCAGAGCTGTTAGCATCCAATAGAGAAAACACTTCCCAGGCAGTATCTGACCCTCACCCTGGCCACTGACCATCAGCCAGGAATAACCACAACTGACCCTTTATCTCCACAGTGAGCTTGCCCCACCACGGCCACAGCTTGACCCCTAACCCTGACCACCACTGACCCTTAACTGGGAACACAGGCTGTCCTCCTGAGGCCACTGCTCCACACACATTCAGCGCTGGTCAGCATGTGGAAGGCTCAGACAACTCAGCCACAATGCCACTAAATATTCCGGCATGTCAGAATTACTAACAATAATAAAGAAAATGCGCAGGACCTGGGTGCCAGACAGGAGGCTGGCATTTTCATATTCATGATCTCTTAAAAGGATCTCCAACACTTCTCTGTTTGTTCCCAGGTAAGGTCTAAAGCTCTCCCAATGCTAGAAAGCTCCCAGTCAGTCTTCCCTTTCCCCCCATTCTCCCCTCCCTGTAACCAAGGCTCATGCACAGGCGCGCGCGCGCGCACACACACACGTCTTTGTTCTTCCTGTCCCTCAGGTTAGACCACCCTTCCTCTTTCCCATGCCCATTCTTCCCCAGGCAGTCTTTAGGACCCAGAGGGTCTCACGCTATCCATTCTTACTGACCCTTCCCAGGTCACCAGGCCCAAGGAAGCCAATAGCCACCCAGCCAAGCACCTTCTCTCCTGTCCCCCAGGCTAGAGAGGCCAGGGCCAGCACCTTGGGGAGAAGGCCACTCAGCTACACGTGTGCTCACGTATGCACATTCACCACATGTGTTTATAGAGCTCCGAGCAACTGTAAACTTGGCTTACCCCAGCTGCCCCAGGAGAGGTGTAGAGTAAGGAAAAATGTCAGGCTTTTCTGCCCTCCTGCTATCAAGACAGATGATGGATCCTTGCAGTCCTGAATGCATGCCTGATGGCGGGCACCTGGCATAGGGTGTGGGCCTAGGTAGATGGGATTCACCTGGGCTAAGACTGGGCTGTTAAGGGCGGCGTCACAGGGATGCCAGCAGAAGCCGAGAAGCAGCAGAAGCTGAAAGAGAAGCAGAGAGAGAAGCAGAGAAGGCCGGAGAGCCCAGATAGAGTGAAGACTTGCTGGGGGCTGGGAGGCACCCTTGTCTGCTGTGTACCGGGTAAATCCCAATAAAAGACCTGCAAAAACCACTGAGGACTCTGACTCCTCCTTTACCCAGTCTGCATGGGATCAGAAAACCTGCACTGTGTCTATTCCTGACCCTACAAGAAACCAGAAATACATCCTGCTGCCACCAGTCTTCCCCAACAAGGCAACTCACCCCTCAGCCCTTGGCTACTCTGCCATCACAGGGGACTGACCGTATTCGTTTACTTTCTATGTGGTGAGCAGTGCTCAGCCTCCGGTTCCCAGCACAGAGTAGGGTACTCAGGACCCTGCTGGGGCTTCTCCCTGAGACTGCCCAGACTATCTCTAACCCTGGGAATGCCCCATCCCCTCTTTTCTGCCATCGGTGCACCCTCACCCTGAATGGCCCACTTTAAGTCTCACCTTCTCTGAGACACTTCAGCTGATTGCCATGACGAATAATAAGGACTCCAGAAGGGGTTTCAGGAGCAAAATAAAATTGTGGGATAAGACCTAATATTTCACTTTTAAAATCCATTTCTTTGGAGTAAGCATTCTGTCCTCAGGAGGGGTCCCTGGGTATTTAGAGTATGTGCCCCACCAGAGTCAGTGGGTACACCTGGAGCATGTGTTCTGGCTCTAACTTTGCCCACCACACAGGTGGGGGCTTCATGGCCTCCCCTGAACACACAGTGGAGGCGGATGGGCCTGAAAATCACTAGGGTCCCTCAGCTCCAGCAGGCAGTGGTTTCTCTCTCTCTAATCAAGGTTTTTTATTGGGAAATCAAACACTTGACCTTGCCACTGATACGTTGCCGTAACTTTCAGTGGGAGGAGAAAAATCTTTCTGAGTAGAGTCTAAAGTAAGATGAGGGCCTCCCCGGTGGCGCAGCGGTTGAGTACTGGGCTGTGAAGCTGTGCACGGCCTCTGCAACACCGGTTCAATCCCGGGCTGCTCCCCGGCCACCAGAGGAGGGTCCCACATGGCGCGCAGACCTCTCCTGCTGCCCGCTGCTCCCCTCAGCAGTGTACCTCGGTCCTTCTGCCTGCTCTGCTCCCTGCTCTGGCTCTGGGGAATTCTCTCGCCCTCCCGCGCTTCTGACTGTACCCAGTGCTTGTATAAATAAATAAATAAATCTTAAAAAAAAAAAAAGGATGAAAACAGGTTAGCTATAAGGAAGAACTTCCAGATTGTGTGCTACAAAAGACAGGGAATTGTAAAGCAAAACCACAGAATGTCTCTTCTGGAAATCTTTAAAATGCAAGAAAGATGTGCCTCAAAGACTGAGTCTGACTTTGTTGGATGTTAGGGTCCTTTTATTATTATTATTAAAAGGAGAGAGAGTGCGACCTCTCTTCATCAAGTAAGGAAGGGGTGCAGGCATTGATGGAGTTCCCAGTGCTGAATGATAGAGAGCTGAATGAGCCGAGGGCCTCACCCCCAACTCCTCCATTGTCCCTGGTTCCCCTTAATGAAGGCTCAAACCAGAGGAGCCAATGAGGCTTGGAAAATCCGCCTGTTGTGTGAGGGGATTTTCCATAAATCTCCCTCATTCAGGGGCGACAGCCCCGTGCCCTATGGAGGAAGGGCTGCTCAGCTCCTGAGGGACCCTCATTAAGAACAGGTGCTTTCTGGCTGGCTCCCTGTGCTCCAGGCCCCTCCATGTCTATGGAGGAGGGTGGGGGTGGGGGAGGACCACCCCACACTCTCCCTGAAGCCATCTCCCAGCAAAATGACCTTGGGCCCCTTCAGGCCTATCAGGGTGAGGAAGTGGAGTCTGACTCACCGATGGCATGGCACTTTGGAGGTTATTTGGCATAAATTTGCCTTCCACCTATTCCAGTCCCCCCTCCTGAAAGTTCATAGACCTGCGCTGTGGAGTTATTAGCGGGAGTTATAGACCTGCTCTGGTGTGAGCCTTCATTAAGGGGAACCAGGAAGTGGGGGTGAGGCCCTCGGCTCATTCAGCTCTCTATCATTCAGCACTGGGAACTCCATCAATGCCTGCACCCCTTTCCTTACTTGAAGAAGAGAGGTCACACTCTCTCTTCTTTTAGTAATAATAATAATAACAACTTTATAGACCTGCACTATAGGAGCCACATGGGGCTATTTAAATTTCAATTAATTAAAATGAGATTTCACACATCTATTCAGATGCACAGTTTAGGTACTCAGCAGCCACCTGTGGCTACCGGATGGGACCGTGCAGATCCAGCTTCCCCAGCTGTCCTACTAGACGATGCTGCTATAACCTCTACTAGACAGAGCCACCTCCACCATGAGGACAGGCCTATTGAGGGCAGAAATTCTAGCATAGACAACAGGATCAGAGGTCTCATACTGACCATGGAGAAAGCTCCAAGAGTTCAGGGGACCCCTTTTTGAGGGGGTACCCAACCCCAATCCTCAAGAAGTTCCTAGCCCAAGGAGGGTTAAATAATTCCTTGGTCAGCTCCTGTTTTCCCAAGCAGGTGAGGAGGAAAGGGTCCAGCTGTCACTTAGCAGGCTCATTAGCCAGGTCTTCTGGGGCCTTGCCCTCCCCAGGGGTAATTATTAACGGGCCTCAGATGTGAGAGAGCATGCAGCCCAAACCCCACCCTCCCTTTCAGCCCACAGGGCCAGCTGGGCATCCTGGGGCAGCCTGTGGGGGGGGAGGGGGGCGGAGCTCAGAGTCCCACCTGGAGACAGCCCCAGGCCTGAGAAACTCCCCCACCTCCCGACTCAGCCAAGTCCAACTCCACATTTGATAAGATGCATCTCCAGCCAGGGAATAGGGTGCCAACCAGGAAAGCAGCCACTGCCCCCTGATTAAACAATGGAAACTCTTTAGCATTGGGGGTTCATCCTTACAGACTCATAGGGGAAGTTCTAATCCCCACCCCACCCCCAAACCCACAGCCTCTCACCTCATCAGCAGGAATTTTCCACATTTGCTGAGATTTCTGTTTGCCTTCCCCATTAGCTTAACAAGCATGGATGGAAAGATGACTAAGGTAATTAGTGACTGTGTAGAGTCGGGACAGAGGGGCCAGGCCAAGGACGGGTGGCATCGGCTGGAGTGTGGCTTGAGAGGCTGTGAGTCAGCCAGAAAGAGTGAGGACGTGGGTCACCAGGGCCAGACCTAGGAGCCTCTGGCTGGCCGCAGGGAACTCTGCCCAAGAATAGAATGCAAGTCATGGCTTCAGCTTTGTTACCATGGAAACAATTCCAAATGGAGGCTTCTTCTACCAAAGAGGGTTCATGAGGCCCTGGGTGGATCAATGCTGGTCTGAGAAGGGAGAATCCTAATCTATAGGTACAAATGGTGACCCCTCCCCAGTTGGACCCTCCAAGGGCCTGTGTTCACAGAGTCACTGACAAAGGAACAGGAGGGGTGCTGGGAAAAAAGCCCAACCTGTACCTCTTGCTGATGGGTAGAAAGGGCTCTGGGAGGAGCCCAGTCTTAGAACCTTCTTACATGGCACATCCCAGCAGGCCCCTGCCATCACCCACCTCATTCATCCTGATCCTTTTGACCATATACTTCTATTAACAAAAAGTCTGTGATGTGTGCTCCAACAGACCTATTTATTTATATTCATAAATACAACTACTACATAACAATAAATTATGTGCAATATTGAAAAATACACCAAAAAAACCCAAACAGATATTTGAACAAAAATGAAAAAAGTAAGTTTCCGATGCCTTCCCAAATACTGATGGGCCAGTCTTGCCCACCCCATGTTGGAAACCACTGACCTACTAAGAGTGTGAGTTACACATTTCTAACTAAGCTCATTAAATAAGCAAAGCTTCTAGCAATTGCAAATTCAACAACAGCCAGTCCTCCCAGGTTAATGTTAAGATTACTTGCTACCTCGAAATTAGTTTGAACTTGAGCTGACCCTCATGCTGGGGTAGGGATGGTGGCAGAGCTGGTGATGTCAGCTGACAACAGGCTCAGGGTGCGTGCACCACCCCCTCCCCCATTCATGACTTTGCTCATGCTCTTCCCACTGCGTGGATTGCCCTGCCACCTTCCTCCACCCTGACAGCTACTGATCCTTCAAAACTCCAAATCTCTATCTTCTCCAGGATCTCTGCCCTGAATCTCTGGCTAGTTAAAAGTCCTATCTCTAAGCTCCATAGTCTGCTATGGATGCCTATATTACGGCAACTGTCACACCACACTGGAATGGGGTATTTAACCCTGTACCTTCCCCACTAGAGTGTGAACTATAGAACAGGGGATTGCTGTATTCACCCTTGACTCCCCAGCTACCAGCATACCTAGGCACCAGCATACCCACCTGTATCCTGCCGGCACTTTCCTTTCCAACACTGAGTCATCTTGGGTTCATGTGACAGGGAGTTGATGCCACCCCATCCCTTTCCCAGGATCCCTTAAGCAATGACTATGGGATTGGGTGAACAATACCCCAACTCTCTAGCCTCCCAGGTGGTAAATTTGAGGTGAGTATTCTAAAGTCTGCAGGAAGCCCCAGCATGACTGAGGATTGGGGCAGGAGACAGGAGTGCAGATGAAATTCCCTGGTAGAAGGAAGGACGTGAGCAAAGGTGGGAGGTGAGGGGTGCTGGAAAGAAAGCAGCGAGGAAGCACTGAGTGACATGTCCTAGCCCTATCCCCAGGGATTTCCCCTTTTCCAAGCCTACGTCCCAGCTTCCTCTTTCCCTGAGTCCAGAACCTTGACAGCTAGATTTGGGGCCTGGCATATTGGGGGAGGAATTTCTCAGAAATTTCACATACTGGCAGAGAAGCAAGCCCCGTCCCAGCACCTAGCCTTTAAAGCAATCTTCATTAAGAGCTTTCCTATAGATAGGCAAACGGATTAGGCTGACTTCTGGGAAGACCAATGCCTCCACCTGCCCCCTCTCCCCTGTCTGGAGAGGGAGGGAGGCAGGAAAAAGGAGCCAGAGTTTCTCTCAGTTCCTCCTCAGATCATTAGGTGCAATTAAAAGCAGGCAGGAAACAAATCTGGGCACGCAGAGAGTGGGCTCTGTAAATCTCCATGTCCACCCTGGCCTCTGGGGGTCCTGCCTGATCTGGCAGCCATCCAGGCAGCAGTGGTGGCCCAGCGACATCTGTCCTGGACACCCACCCTCAGCCAGAGGGTGCTCGGGCTTGTTCTGAGGCAGCAGGTCAAGACACCACCCCCTTAGATCTGAGCTCAGAGATGGTCTGGGAGTCCAGATACCTTATGCCCAGTCTAGCTCTGCTATCTTCCAGTTAAGAGTAAGGCAAGTTCCTTACCCTACCCAGGACTCAGTTTCCTCAGCTGTACCATGAAGAAACCATACACCGACTAACATCCCCCAGTGCTGGCATTTTATGTTCTAAGTCTGAGCGTGTTTCTGGCCTCCAGATTCTTGAGCCCAAGATTCTGCTGACCCACACATCTCTAAGTTGCTCTGAGGTCCCAGGCTGGGGTGAAAGGACTGTTGTAAAGACTGACAATTACACAGAAAAGAGGTCCAGTATTTAACAGACAGATTCTAGGAGGAGAGGATCCTCCACTGAGCCCTTCTCCGAGTCTTCCAGCCTCTAGCAATGGCACCTATTTAGGATCAGCCTGCCTCTGGCCTCTCCACGTGTCTCAGGAAAGAGTGGCAACTGATCCAAGAATGGATCACATATAACCAATCATAAGTTAACTTTGTTTTCTCTTTCTATGTCTCCTGTCCTTGTTGGGATTCCAGCAAGACTAAAAGACTAAAATGGGCTTAAGTGCCCATCCATTCACCGGTGCCTCCCATCTTGTGGTTCTTTATCCACAGAGGACCAGTGTGGAAGATAGTCATGGTCTTTCTCTTTAAACCTCAGAGAAATTTCTACACTAGTATGGGGTACCAGGGATGTCCTGGGAGATGGCTCTAAACTGATATATCCAAGGCCCCACCCCCAGACAAGGATAAGCAGATGAGGTTTTTCCAGGTACCTTAAGATTTGGAAATGAGTTAGGGCATTCTGCTGTAGTATGGGCTCTCACTATCCACAAGTTAAGGCAAATTAAGGTCAGTACACAAGTCCAGCCTAGACAGCTTGGCCCTGGGAAATGCTTCACCCCCCAGAAGAACACAGCCTGCACCCCAATCAGATACCTTGTAAATGAAAATATGTCCAAATTAGAACCATGGTAAAATACAATTTTTCACTCTATCAGACTTGGGGGGTGGGGAGTGATAGCATACTTTGTTGGCCAGACTGTGGGGAAATAGATACACTCATCTATTGCTGGTGGAGGTTTAATTGTTACAATCTATATGGAGAATAATTTGGCAATATATACCAAAATTATAAATACACCACAAATCTCAGGTGTGGGAATAGATGCTACAGATATACAGTATGTATAAAATGGCACACGTATAAGATTATTCAGTGCAGAATTGTTTTTAATAGCTAGTGATAGAACTGACCTTACTCAAGAGAAGACTGGTTAAAATATGATAGATTAGTCATACACTGGAATACTATGCAGCTATGAAAAAGGAACCATGCCATTCTTTTAAAATCATTATCCAAAGTCTTCCAAAATATAATAATAAATGGAAGAGGCAAAATATAAAACATATATAAAGTATACTCCCACTTGGAGAAAAGTGAGAATATAACAATAGAAATTTTAAAATCCATACCTTCCCTCATTGAGACAGGGTTAAAAATTCAAGAGCTTTGGAACCAACTTGACCTACCCACTTCTACACATTGGAATGAGAAGCTAATGAGGTAATGGGTGGAAGTCAAGAGCTCTAGACACTGTCACAGACAACAGAAGGCATGGCTAGAGCCTGACTGGAATGATTCCTATTCCCAAGCTCCAACCCTCACCTACCAGGGCCTTCTCACTTAGAAGTTAACCCAACAAAATGGGTTGAAGCACACTGTCTCTGGCCTTATGCAAGCCAATTGTTCTCAGCCAATGAGGAAAGAGCAGGGGCAGGGCTTAATAGGAAATGAGGCATTAGGCAGCCCACTCCCAGGTGCAGCTTCAAGGGAAGAAAGCCTTGTGTCTTGATGGTCCTGGCACTGTCCACACTGCAGCTAGTGATTCGGTTTCAGCAAGACCAGTCACACTAAATTGATGGCTTGTATTATTTTCTTTGTATTTAAACTGCAAATTGATTTTGGTTTTCAAGCTGTATATAAACTAAATGTAAAAAGCATTTTATACCCCCCTGTATATTTGTATCTGTCTAAGCAGACCTGATTAGGTTAATGGAGTCCCCTGAAGATCCCCCCACTTTAGATGAGGTCCTACATATTATTCATGATTGAGAAAAATATTTTTGATTAAAATTTCTCAAAGGCCTGGATCTTTTCTTTCATATTTTTTAGGGGGGGAGGGGTAACATCTTGGGAAATGTTCACTGAAATAATAATCTAATTTTAGTAGATTCTCTAAGGGTAACTGGTCCTGCTCCCTTCCCTCATTGAGTGCAGCAGCAAGGAGACTAGGGCTTCCCCTTGGGGGAAGCAGATAAGGAAGGACCCAGCACCCGCTCCAGGCCTGCATCCTCCAAGCACCTGGCTGCATGTATGCCCTCTTCGCTCCTGGGGCCTTCAGTTTCCTGCCTAAAAATGGGGGTTGGCAGTGGCAGCAGACCAGGGCAGACCACTGCCCATGTGGGGTGTGGTCCCCCAAATCAATGGGAGTGCGTTCCTGAGATAGGGGTGCGATGGCCGGAATGTGAGGGGCCAGAGTGATGGACCGCGCCAGCCCAAGAGCTGAACAAATATTGACCCTGAGCAGGCGGCCTCTTGAAAGCCCTCCACAGGATGCCTCTCGCTGTTCCCCTATCTCTAGCCAACCTCACAGCAGGGTGCCGCCTCTAGCTGGAGGCAGGTTGCTAAGTCTCCCTTTGGGGCCTAGACCCTGTGTGGAGGACCCAGTGTCAACCTTGGTGCTCTTGGCATGGGGTTCCAGGTCACCAAGGGTTATTCCAAAAGGGGTCCACTCCATTGCTACCCCCCAGTGTCTCAACCAGATTTCCTCATTCCTTCCCCCACACGTCGTTCCAGCTCCCAAGGTCTGGTCAGATTCCCTCTACCAGAGGCGGAAGAAAAATGAATATATGCTTGGGGTGGGAAGGCCCACAGCTCACTGACCTCAGAGCCTGGATTCTCCTCAAAGATGCTGAAGAA